ATATATATATATATCTCAAGCTGGGATCTGCATCCTGGAGTGAAGATTTCTCCAGTATTCGGAGCTCGTTCAGGGTTGGCAAGACCTGGACACCTGTCAGAGTGTATGGTTGAAGCAGAGGGCCATATTCTACATGATGTCTGAGCCAACCCACTTTTCATGAGTAAATTAATGCCAAAGAACCAGAAGAAACTTATTTTTTAATCTCTGTCCTTTTCTAACCGACACAAAAGTACACAAAGCAGAATAATGTTTTGTTAAAAGTGTGCGGGTGGCCCATCAACTGAAGCATGGATAAACAAACTGTGGTACGTACACACAATGGAATATTATGCTACCTTGAAGAATAAAAAAAAGCTGCAAGCCACTGTATAACATGGATGAACCTTGAGGACATTATGTTGAGTGAAACTAATCAGTCACAAAAGGAGAAATACTGCATAGGACCACTACTGTAAAAGACTAAGAAAAAGAACCCATACTAAAGGGGGGTTTTGCTGGTTGCAGGGTAGGGTGAGGGCAGGGAGGGGAAGGTGGAGCACAGGGCAGGGAATAGACACAGGCTAATTTGGGTGCTGGGGCGGGGAGCAAAATACAAGAAGGGAGAGGGGAATGGAAGAACAAAGCAGATGGGAGAACAATTAGGCAGATCTGAATGGGCTAAGTGGGACAGTGGTAAATAATGATGTATGCACAACCTTGGAACAACAGGACTCTGGGATACAGGGATTGAGACATGGTTGGAATGGGGAAAAGGAGGGAAATAATGTTAAGATGCTTGGCAGTCTTTTGTATCTTGGATTCCCTTGCATACCATTATAAAATAGACACTGAAGGGGGAGAGAAAGGAATTGCCAGAAATATCAATATAGAAAGCTTGTAAGTCCGTCTTATGCCTATAACTGATTGGAATACTTAAAATGGGGCTACAACGTGCCCAGTGAAGGAGGCTTCCCGTGGAGCCTCTGCATTACATAAGACTATAGGTGGAATCCTGAACAGCATCCAGAATCTTCAGAGGTGGGAAATTTCCACTTGAAAGGATGGGCAGACCAGCCTGGAGCGGCTTGAAGAACAGAAGATACTTCTTGAAAGAAAGACCAACAAGAAAAATACAGAACAATATAGGCAGACTGACTGATTGCTACAAGAACAAGCAAGTTATTCACCCAGGAGGCATTAAGGCAAGTGGTCGGGTCCCCTCAGAGCAAACCCCCTTTCAAGACTAAGACTCAATGGGAATATATGCTCAATGTGACCAAATTTGTTACCACACCGATAAGGGGAAGTGAGGGAAAAACAGCAATGAAGCTGTGAACTAAGCCCTACAACATTCAATACACTCCTGTGAACCTGGGAGGAGGAGAGCTGGTTGGCTAGCAGTGTGGCAAGACCTGGGGACTCCTGGGCCCAGAGTCAGTGACATAGCCACAGAAAACTAGAGTGGAGAGTGAAGCGTCCAGCTGATAAGAAGAGAGGGCATATGCATTAGAACACTCACACTTGCAGATAATACCCACTTGACATGGCTTCAATGACTGGATGACCAGAGCTCAACTAGAAAAAGAAAGAAGAGGGAAAAAAAAAGTAATGTGATACAATTTGATGAACTTGACCTACACCTATGGATGCAGTAGTTCAAAAGAGGGAACAAGTCTTTGCAGCAAGGATCATTCCAACCCCCTCCATACAGAGTAGACAAGGATGGGCCACTTGGACACTGACTACCCAAAATGGGGGTGCTACAAAGGCAAGAAATGACTGGCTTACAAATTTTCAACAGGAAGCCTAGATCCAGAGGGTGTGGTGGTTGTTGTTGTTAGGTGCCATCGAGTTGGAACCGACTCATAGTGACTCCATGCACAGCAGAACGAAACAATGTCCGATCCTGGGCCAACCTCACTACCGCTGCCACACTTGGTGTCATCAATGATGCCACCTGGCCAATCGTGGAGGAAGGTAGAATCTCCACTGAGTAGTATCCAATCTGTCTAGGTGGGGCTGATGAAAGAAATGCAGATAGGTCTCTAGTGATACAATAGTGAATAATTGCTATCAGGACTGATTGTGAGGGTTGGATATGTAAAGGTATACATTAGCAAGGAGGAGAGTGATTACATTTTCAGTCTAGGAGCAGCGGTCCCTGGAACCATAAGGGGAGAAGAGTGGAGAGCGGGACCCTACCCAGAGAAGCAGTGACACCTGAGATGGAGGCAGAGACGATGACGTGGAGAGATGGAGC